ATATATATATATATATATAGAGAGAGAGAGAGAGAGAGCTCAAATCATTCAAATAAAGTAACATTATGAAAACGATCATAACATTATGAGTAAAATCGAACATTTATTTGATGGTGGCTTTGTTATCAAATTATCTGTAGAGGTGTGATACTTGGCGAACGTAATCTATCTGTTTTTTGTTTTTACCCTATTAGTGAAGATTACAGCGCTTCTTACCAGATCAGATTACCTAACAGTGCCTCAAAACTACGAAATTAAGCAAAGCATAAGAGCCTTTCAGTTCAACGATGTGCAATACGTTTATAATATTTAAAGGGTAATTTTCCAATTTTATGCTTTATGAAATTTAATATTGTAAAAAATGTTTGTTTTTTGTTGTTGTTTCCATATGTCATATAGCCATATCGAAACTAAAATTATTCAGTTTTAGACATAACACTCAAGCCTTCGTGTTGATTCTTGGAGCTTCCATGTGGTTATATATTTAAATTGAAATTTGAAAGGGTTATTTACACTTTATATTTTATAACTTTAAAAGATGTAAGCGCGTGTCATATAAAAATGACTAGGCCACACGTGAAATAGAAAACTTTTGTAAAATAGTTTTAAGCTTGAAGATAGGAAATATAGAATCAGCTATTTTCATTCATTCGTTGTAATCCAGTGCTTGTAATGAAAATATATGAAAATATAGTAAAGCAGAGTTTGACTTAAACTTTTATATAAACTACAGTGCATCATATATACTTTCTGCAGTTTGTCTCTATAATATACATCTCAATAAACACACTAATAGTAATAAGCAGTATTTAATTCAAATGCAAGATGAGAAGAAATTGTTATATCAACTAATCACATAATCACAATCAGAATAAACTAGCTTCTTGCTTTTGGTTTGGAAGTTACATGTTATATTTATTTAACCGTTTCAGATTTTTGGATGCACTTTTTGTGAACACAAACCATTAATAAAAGTTAACTAATCAGTTTTGTATGAATGAATTACAAATATAGTTAAAGTATGTACTTACTTTCAACGTCGACTGCTTTAAGATCTGCCTAAAAAAACGAAAAAAAAGACAAATTAGTATTTCTGATGTTTTGGTTATCTCATTAACAATCATTTAAAATATAACAATATTTCACGAGCAGCAAACAAATGAAATGAAACAAAGTGCCTAATGCAAACTTTGAAAAACTAAAATTACCATTGCTCTAACTGTAGAGTTCTTCAACGGAGTCCTTCCACGTTATTCTCTGGACAAGCTACTGATTGAATTAAGACATGTGAAGACGCTTTTCATTTTATATAGAGGACGCTTTAAACAGTGCGAAATTGTACTTGGAACATTGTCATGAAAGTTTGTTTCCTATTTTGACGTGTTTCAATTCTTTTGTAAACAGGAAATAGTGGTTATTAACATTAGTGAATAGGAAGTTCCTCCTCACTTTCACGCAATACGATCAATGGCGGGAAATGAGTAGTTTTAAGGGGGAAAATAATGTTACAAATTCGCAAAGTAATATTAATTAGTATTAGTTATATTTGTAAGTTGTCACTAAGTCAGTGTAAAGCAACTGTTAGTGTTACTGTTATTAGTGAGTGTTATCTTTTGTAGCATGAATAAAAACGTTGAAAATGTGAAACGAAAATCATATTGATAGAATATTTCGTTAGTATAGAAAAACAAATTATTTGTACTAAAGATCATTGTGATGTATGACAGTGGTAGTGGTGCCACGTAGACCTAGTAGTAATAGTATGGCAATATCACTATTAGTATTAATCAAGTTATTATTCTTAGTGTAATATATAAAGCAAAGTAATAAAGAATGTTGAAGTTTACTTTAAATAGTAATATTAAGAGTGGTAGTAATATAGAATAATTTGCATAATGAATTTCCTTATTTTCAAAATTATTTAACTTATTATTATGCAACCAAGTAAAATCTTCTTTAAAATGTAAACCTGTATATTTATATATATAAAAGAGGAAGTTTGTTTATTCTGTTCGCTATATGAAACCAAACGGTTGACTTACAAATTTTAAAATAACTTCATAATAACCATTTTTTTACAAGAAATTTAATGCTACTACTTTGTATTTGGTGTAGTATTTAATGACGAAATTGACCAATTAATGATTATTGCACCATTTTTTGTAATAAACATACAATAATATATGCACAACAGAAATTAAATGATGAGATGAAAATGTGTTATAACGGCGCGTAGAAAGAACAAAAATAGAATGGACCTACAATATTATTGATTATTTGCAAATAGTAACTATACAGACGAGGTAATAAAATAAAAATCAAATCGAGAACAGCAACAAATTTTTATAAACGAAAACCTCTCGCCGAGCATTGGATATTATATTATTTCCCTGTCAATGTTCCCATCTTCATTAAAAGGCGTAAGATGACACAAACAAGATCTTGAAGAATCTACCTATCTATATATATACACTGAGTGGTCACAAGTAAATAGACACCTAATTTCTGT